ATAATACTGCAGTGAGTCAAAACACAGAGATTTAATGTTAAATTATCGGCCTGAAATCAAGGCCCAAATTCTGCTTGCCTGCTTTACCTGCCCAGAGGTGTCCAGTTCAGTAAACAGAATTTGGGCATCAAAGCTAAGCACTGATGTTCCCTGTACAGCCAGCAGAAAGCAATGGAGCAGGGCAGTCAGCTCTGGAAGAAGATTTAAAGTGCCTGAATGAGCTACTAACTTTGCTATGGTCAGTGTACAGAATGAGCAGCAGGAAATTAAGCACGCCACCTCTTCCTCCATACTACAAAAAATGGGGCTGCTGCATGCTAACTGCCTCTTGGGAGTGGTTCCTAGAGCATTTTGACTCCCAAACTCTGCCTGGGAATTGTTTGAGCGAGTGCTTGGATTTGGGACCCGACAAAGCACGTCTGTGGAGCTCTTTAGTGCTCCTGCACACCATCCAACCTGGAGAAGCACCATCTTTGCATGGAACTAAAAAGATGTATATGAAGAAAAAAGAATGAAATGCTATTTTAAGGCAACTTTAGGGACATGCTATTTCCTTTAACTCAGACCTTATTTCTATTGGCATCAAATACACTAGTTGTTTATCATAACTTATTATGATATTATTCTAGATAATATTTATCTTTGAAATATTTTGATTTCCTTTTAAAGTGAATTAATAAAACACTTTAAATGTGGGATTAAAGTTAGCATTAAACTGAGGACATAAAAGGATTGCTATTAAAATGTTTTCTCAGGTCTGCCTAAGGAGACTATTCTTCTCAGGGTTGTATTTGAAATAGAAAGTGGTGCAATGCATTACAGATATATTAAGAAATTGAGAGATTTTTTGATAGAGTATTGGGCTATTTCCTAAAAAAAAAAAAAAAAAAAAAAAGGAAAGAAAAGGAAAGAACCTTGTAAAACATTCAGTCACGCTCTCATACTTTATGGAATCACTGAAGACTAAATATTCTCCAAATAAAAACCTAACAATTGGTGTTCTGTCAACGGTTCTATAACGTATGTTTCCTGAAGAGCTGGGGTTTGGAAGAGGGAGGCTCTGAATGTCTAATTTTATTGAAATTAAACTTTAGTCAGGTATTTGAGAGGTCAATAACTATAAAAATTAGAAGTTCTTTTCCATCAAAAATCTTTTGGTGTGATGAGCTTTTATTTAACAGTACGCATGTGACCAAATGAATTATTATCCACACTTTCATGTTATTTACCTTTTCATTAATATATTGTCATGAATTTCAATCCCTGCAGTACATGCAGGTGTTTGACTGTCCTAACAAATATAGCAATTATGAAGCAAATATGAGTGGCAATCAGTCATTGAAAGCATCTCTCCATTGTCTTCATCTATATGATCCTTAAAAATTGCAGTGGGGAATCCTTATTTAATGTATAAATATAACATCTAATAGCTGTAAAATATTTTAAGTTCCTTTCAATTGCAGGTTACAAGATAATAATCTTGTGGGAACATGCCTCAGCATTTCCATGTATTCACTGTTGACAAAATGAAATGTCTCCGTTAATTCTTTTGGCAGTTGAAGAAAGTGATCAAAACCTTTTGTTACACAACTTTCTAGATTAAGTGATCACATCTGTTGAGTAGTTTTTGAAGGATGTAGTATAGATTTAGGTAATTAGCTAGAAGCTATTTTTTTCCATTAACTTGTAGGCAGAATACTGTCTCCAAAGTTTATTATCAGACTTCAGAGTTACAAATGATGTTATAAAGTTCAAGCCTCTTGATTATAGCATACTTTTAACATTTTCAAATACTCCCAGTGCAGCTTCCTTGCTGTCTAAAATAATCAAGCAGATAATGGATTTCACATTTCACAGTAACGGAAAACTGTCAGGAACATTTGGAGGCGTTAATGACTGTAGGCATAATATGCCCTTTCACTGTTTTCATCTGAAGGAGAAACATGCAGCTTTTGCCCTGAGCAGTTGCAGCTTTTGAATGAATGTTGCAAACAATACCAGTTAATTTGCTGACGTGCGGATGTGGTTTATATGAATGACTATACATAATGGATTTATTTTGTTGCTTCTGCAGAAGCTACCTTTGAATTTATTCACAACAAAAAAGGTTTCAGTTTTGCTTTTCAGATCTTATTATGCTCGAATTATTTTTATGATCTGCTGTGATGCAAGCTATCTTGTATCTGACAATCCATTGGAAACAAATGAGAAACAACTTCTGCATCTACTACAGAAAGCCTTGCCTCAGCTATTACAGTCTGTACTGATCTGTGCAAATTATTTTCTTACTCATTCAATGAATCTTTTCTTTTTATCTTGTCTTTTGGGTGGAACGCTACTACTAAAGTAATTGTCACAGTCATGATTCACAGTGGGCTACGATTCAACCAACAACGGATAAATTATCAGCATATCTGGCTCCATATCAGACCATGTTCATTGTGTTCACTCTCTATTGTTTGTGTATTGATCAAATAGTCTTTAGGCATTATACCTTCCACAGGCAGTTTTTATCTTTCCATGCCAAATAAATGCACGTGCAAGAAGTGTCTAGCTGCACCTTTTTAGGTAGACTCGGTTTGCTCTACATACATACTTCAGCTATGTCATTTACACTGTAATGCTCGAGACTGTAACAGTTCTTAGACTTCTTCGGCAATATGTAAATTATTGCTTTTTGAAGCCAGCCACAGAATTTTATTTCAATAAAATTGATCTTTCTTTTTCTTGGCCTTCAGTAAGGGTAGTTCAACTTCAGCATCAGACAAGGAGGAGTGAGTCCAGAAAAATACTTGTTTCACTTTTCTGTCTTGTTGTGACCAGGTTCTTCAGGCATCCTGAGATTCCAGTCAGCATCTGGTCCACTACTGAGGGACCTTTCCCCTCACTTTGAAACTCCCAGAGTCTTTGCCCTGAGATTAAAGAGAGTTTGGTTTTATAAAGTCCTTACTCTGTAATTTCCTCAGCAATCCAAAGACACCAGGAAAGAAATTCATACGTCAAAGCTGAAGCCCATGTACAGTCCTCAGTGCATCTGTTTTGTAACACAAACCAGTTCTAACAAAGAACAAGCATTTCCTGATTACACAGCTATTGTAAACTTCCCAGACATTCCAGTCGTCTTTACCCTTTCCTCAGCTGTGTGTAAAGTGCAAAAATACTGTGTTTCAACAAGAAACGTCTCAAGCATCCCTGACTTGCTTCATCGGTGCAATTCAAGGTGTTTGAACTTTTGGAGTTGCATTTTGTTAAAAAGCTTAGGTTCGTATAGGCTGAATTCTTCAGGGTTCTTTACTGTTTCTCTGTAAAATTCTATTCAGTTGTTCTGGAGGTTCCCTTCTTTGTGTAAGAAATAAAGAGTGTTACTAATAATAAACAGTGAGCAGTCAGCCTACAAGGGGATACACAGAGCTAACCAAGAGGAAAATGGATGCACTCCTGTTTAACTTAGCATTGCCTGAACCAAGGCTTCTCCATGGGCAGCTCTGTCCTCTTGGGATTCAGACCATTAGGTACTTTAAGAAGAGATCACAGGGCAGAAGATGGTCTTGTGCTCCACAGCATTGTCATCTGATTTCTTCTCAGAAAAGGTGGACCCTGGATTATAGACCCGCTTCAAATGTGTGCATGTACGTGTATGTGTACATGTGTGTGTTCATGGGTTAGTGTGGTGGGGGGTGGCAGCTCCTAGTTCATGGGAGAGGTTCTGCTTACCTCTCTGCTCCTGGGGATGGCAGATAGTCTCCATCTCTTTTGCAGAAATTTGAAGGGACATGAAGGGAACCGCAGCAAAGATTTTTTTTTTTTTCAGTTGTGTAAGAAGGAGCCTTATTGTGTGGCTACTAGGCTATTCTGTCTACTGGAAAATGAAAACCATTCTTTCACACCTCTGTGGGGTGAAGTATGCCTGCAATCCAACAGGAACCAATTTGTCCCGGAAGGGCAGTACATAATGTGAAGTTTCTTAAGTGCTAATAATGATTCCTTCTTTTTGTTCCTGTTGGAACCTGTTCCTGGGTCCAGAGGAGGGCCACAAAAATGATCAGAGGATGAGAGGAACACTTCTGCTATGAAGAAAGACTGAGAGAGGTGGGGTTGTTCAGCCTGGAGAAGAAAAGGCTCCAGGGAGACCTTACTGCAGCCTTCCAGTACTTAAAAGGGGGCTTGTAAGAAAAATGGGGACAGACTTTTTAGCAGGGCCTGTAGCAACAGGACAAGGGAGAATGGTTTTAAACTAAAAGAGGGTAGATTTTGACTAGACATAAGGAAGAAATGTTTCACAATGAGGGTGGTGAAACCCTGGCCCAGGTTCCCCAGAGAGGTGGTAGATGCCCCATCCCTGGCAACGCTGCAGGTCAGGTTGGACGGGGCTCTGAGCAACCTGGTCTAGTTGCAGATGTCCCTGCTCACTGCAGGGGACTTGGACTAGATGGCCTTTAAAGGTCCCTTCCAACCCAAACTATTCTATGATTCTATCATTCTATGATGAACATTACATGCTTATAAAACTATAAAGGGATCATTTCTGAACAGTGTGACTCAAAGAGACTGATGACAAGGTATTTTACATACTTTATTAGTAATGAAAGTATTCCTCAAAGACATGACTCCACTTACAATTTGTGTAGCTCCGTCAAGAAGGAAATAAAGCTCCTCTGTTTTCTCTTACTTGTTGAATAGATTGAATATCTACACACTAAGCAGGAAGTTAAAATTACATCACCAGAAGTGGTAACATCCTCTTAAGTACTGCTTGATGTTCTTGTGAAGTAGAAGAAATAGAAGGCTCAAGAATAGTCTTGAAAAGAACTTTAAGGAATAAAAGCATGTAGAATTTGTAAAAATGCTAGACAAATAATACCTTAGAAACTGTGACCTTGAATGATAAAATACAGTAGTGCTCCACTCAAAGCATCTGTTAGAATAATCCATAAAAAAGTGTACTCTGCTTCTTGCACGTGTCAGTTTTGCATTTCTGCATTGTTCAAGGCACAGTTTTTGTTTTCAGTTTTTATAAAGAAAATTATACAAAAATACTCTACTAGTAAGGCAAATATTAAAAATAGTATTAAATCCAGTATACTCAAATATCTGTTATCAGGTGTCTTCTGGGCATAGACCAGAAATTAATATAACATTGTCCACTCCAATTTCTCCAGTTTTGCCCTTCCCACGTTCTGATTCAAAAGTGACCTGTCATGAGAAACAAGATGTATTAACAGCGAAAATGTAGTTCATACAACCACTTAGCAACAATTAATGTTAATTAGTTATAATGCTATATCTAAAGAATGTTTTATCACACTACAGGACTTAATGACTTAAATCCTTGCAGTTTTTAGAGATTCCATGTATTATTTACATTATCGTATTTAGACTGATAATCCTCTTCCCAAATGTATTCCTCTAATAAGATTACTTATTTTCATTGTACAAAGAAAATGCAAATTGAGTGAAATCCTATTATAATAATGTAGTTTTATCACAGTGTGTGATGTTTAGTGCACTCCGTTTCTTGAAGGCATTACAACTGTTCATTTTTGATCTATTATATATACCCAAATCTATATATTTGGGTATATATACTTTATATATACTACATATATAGTATATATGCTATATATTTTTATATTTTTGTATTTTTATATTTATATATATACCTCTATATATGGTATGTTTATATATATAGCATAGTATGTATACTATATAGAGAGAGTAGGTTCATTTTTATGAATACAATGGTTGGGTTTTTATTTTACAGCCTGATTTTCATTTATGTAAGGACTTTTCTACATCATTCCAGCAGTGCAAGGGATCTTGAAATAGCATTTCATTTATACTCACAGTATTCAATTATACAGTAAAAGCCTTTACACAGCACTGGAAACATTCAGTCACATAAATGAGAACCAAGCCCTAGAATTTCAAGGAGAAACTTGCTGAAGCCCTGATTGAGGCAGTTTTCATACATACATCAGCACACAGTGTTCCCTGTGGGCTAGCACGTCCTGCTCCTAGGGTGGCTGCCCGCCCCTGATCATACACGATGCCTCCTTTTGCAGTAATTATCTGGTTTAGTGTGGTTTGAGAGCATCCTCTTCTGTGAAACAGGGATAACTTTCATTTTGCCAGGAATATATGTATGCTTCTGTTGCATGAGATATTAAGCAGAGATTTTCATTGTTTCTGTTAATTTATGATGTGATGCAGTTTTTACAAAATGACAGGATTACTGTCATCAGTGTTCTAACCAATTGGGGTAATTCAGTTCTGAAATTACAACTAGATAGTAACTTTTCTGCCTCCTAAAACCTGTGCTCCTGTTTCCCACTTCAAATAAGCTTTTCAATTGCCAGTTGCCTATAACAGAGTTGGTGGAACACTTGAGGATTAGGAAATTAAGCTGTTATGTTGATTATGGTAGTTGACTTATAAATTGTGTTATACTTACACTGTTGGTTGTTTCAGCCCCCTGAAATATATCTATTTTTCCAATTCTCCACCTTTCATCTTTTCCTTTGTTCTGCTCCCACACAGGAGTGTTTTTTTTGTTTGCCAGGAACACTCGAAGTTTCCCCACTCTCTCACCAGCAAGCCGATAACTGAAAATCAAGCAGTAGCTGCTCTTTGGTTTGAGGTCAGTGAGGAGAAGTTTTAGACGCCCCATATCCTTCTTGTGCCCCACAAAGGCTGGAACGGCCATGTAGTACCCATCGCCTTGTAACAAAAAACCAGGAAAACACATCTTTAATGGACTTGTGTTATTTATTAGCAAATTGAATACATATTTGCTAAGAAAAATATGTGGAAGCTGTGTTACTTGAATAATTTAAAATCAGACTGGAGAAAAGCAGCAGGGAGTGTACTTTGCAAGGAATAAGCTTGCACTGTTGGAAGTCAGATCAGTTTACAGAGGAGATGAGTTCATATTTCACTGGCAATTACAGTAATTCTTCCTTGCACTATCTTTCAAAGGCAAAATCATCTCAGTTTTTCAAATGCAGCAGCCTGAAACATGCTGCTGTGCCTCTGTGGTCAGACCATTTCCAGCATTTAAGCTACCTCAATACTTTCTCCACTGTCCTCTGCAGTGATGAAAGCAACTCATAAAGGAAGTGGTAGCTTATTCCCCAAATCCTGGAGGACAAATGAAATGACAGAGGCACACAAAGTGGTAAAGGGGTGAAACACCTGGGCCCATAAATAAAGTCATAATCAGTAGATGTAAGCTTGGGGAGATGGCCTATGGTCAGGGTAAAGTCTTCCTGGAAGTGACAGGACAGAGAAAAGACTTGGGGAAAAGGAAATATATAGAGCAGGAGAGGAAGGATTAGTGAAGAAAGACTGGAATGGAAAGACTGTGAGGGAAGAGGTAGAGAATGTGCATGTAGGAACTGGAGCAAGTGGCCTGCAGTATCTGCAGGATCCACCGGTCCCTACTGCAGCAGCTTCTGCAACATTTCCTGTGTCACAGGGGAAGAGACATCCTTTCTAACCAGTTTCTTCAGCCACACCTTTTTATACACACCAGCACAGTCACACCTTGTGCTCACGGAGGTCTTTCTCATGTTTTAGCAGGCCTGCCATTGGTACCAGGTCAGGTGTTGGTTGTTTTTGAATAGCCCCCTGCCCTTGGCTCATTCCGAGGAGTTTGTTCTGCTGAGTCTGAGATTTCTGAGCAGTTAATCACAGTGCTGTCTAAGCCACGCGAGTGACTACATTACCACATCCATCTACATGGCAGAGGTGTGGTTAAATGCCCTACCAGTCTTGGAGAGGCACAACACATAACTGATAAGGTTTCCATTGCCTTGTACCTCGCAATTCTGAACAGTTAAATTTCTAATCCTTTTTCTTATCTTTTGATTTGTTTGTGTTGAAATTTAGAAACATAGAATCATTAAGGTTGGAAAAGACCTCTAAGATCATCAAGTCTAACTGTCAGCCCAACACCACCATGCCCATTAAACCATTCCTGAAGTGCCACATTTACACGTTTTTTGAACACCTCCAGTGATGGTGAGCCCACCACCTCCCTGGGCAGCCTGTTCCAATGCCTGATCACTCTTTCAGTAAAGAAATTTTCCCTAATATCCAGTCTAAACCTCCCCTGGCACAACTTGAGGACATTTATTACTGATTACCAGTTGCCACTGGATATTTCAAATAAACAATTTCCACTCTCAGCATTCTCTGACTCCTTTTTTCTTTTATAAAGAAAACCCGCTGATAGGAAAGCTAATTCTTGATTCTGTTTTCTGCTCCATCCCCCTTTTTTGGAGGGGGTGAGCCATCAAATCAAAGCATAGCTAGAGGACAGGTATTTAAATACCTCTATCTCGATCAGCAGGATTCCAGTCAAAGTCATCATCAGTGTCTTGTTTCCAGTCACAGACCCCTTGACTGAAGCTGCAATCAACTGAAAAAAAAATTGTCAATGGAGACGCAGAGGTAAGAGGAGCACTATATCATAAGTACATATTTGCTCTTTATTCAACCAGTTATGAATGCATAGGTCATTCTAAAATTATCTACAATCTGAGTTTAGATAGCGTTGACCTAGATTAAATTGCAAAAAAGTAAAACATTAGAATTTATGTAGTAATTCATTCTTTAACTCATAGGAAAACCCATTGTGTCTTTTTACTGCCACTCTCCCATCTGCACATGGGTTTATGTGCTGTGACTTCTGAATACTGAGTGCCTGCTGATCACCAGGTATAGTTGGAGGTGTTAGTTTTGAACTCTGGCATCACAAATGGTTTGGGAACTGTCAACTTTAGAGTTTTCCTCTCTCCGTTTGTTCCAATGCTGTAGCTGTAATCAGCTGAGATGCTCAAGCTCTTGTTCTGTTCATTGGAAGAGAAGCTGGCCTCCCATGAGAGGAATCCTTTACGTCAGCACTTGATACTCATACTAAATGGAGCTGGGAATAGCCCAAATCTGTTGACCTATACAGCACACTGAAAAAGGGCGTCACCCAGCACACACCACTGCCTTTGTGACTGTGCAGATGAAAAGCATTACATACACAAGGAAAGAAACACTGTGCAATGTAAGCATGACAGATAATACATCAGCCATCTGAATTTCCTCAGAAAGAAGCATTCTTGTTGTTCTTTTCATGTATTTTACCATGAGACAGAGAAGTGCAGTACGTGGCATTTAGAGAGCTTTACTGTATAAATCCATTTTTTCTGAGACTACTGCCTTCTGAATTGGAACCCCCCCTGTATCTTACCCTTAATGTCAGCCAGCATATCTGTCTATTTTGTTTTGTTTTGTTTTCTTTAAGATTTGGAAGCATTTGTGGATTATTTTTGGGTGAAGCCCACCTTGTCCTAAAAATGATCTCAGCTACAGGCAATCCCTGCCCACCTGGCTGGTAACTCCCCAGGAGGATGCTGCTACCCTGTAAATGCATCAGCTCAATACGGTCTCTCAGTCCCCCCTTTTGGATTCTGCTTTTTTCCATGGCTTTCATAAGCAGGTCCTTACAGTCAGCTTCATGCCTCTGCCCATCACAGGGAAACTGTTTCCCACCAGGAGAAAGTGGGAGAGTGTCCTCTGATCTGCTTTTATACTCTGTTTTGACCAGAGCTACACTGCAGTCTGTTATAGCTCCCAGCAGGCAGTGAAGTTTTCTGTTAGAAAATGCATGAAGCAGTTTCCTAAGGCATGGCAGAAGCTTAAGCTGTGTACATACATTGGCAGGTCTTGCACCTTGCATGCTCCCCTGACTGATTTTACAACAATTTTATAATGTGAGAAAGAACAGGTAGTAGGATCATCTTACTCTGATATCCACAGAACTTACTGATGAATGGAGAACTATCATAAATTCATAGCCAGGCTATTTCAGAGTCAGGGTAAATATTTACTCAGTCTTGTTCAGGGGAAACTCCTATTGATTTCTGAGAGAGAACCAGAAGAAAAAACAAGCGAATATGGCTGAAAGACGTTGGCATATTGTTGTGTGCTATGAAACACACTTCTAACATGTTTTAATTTTACAGACAATAAAAATTATTTTTTCATTACTATGAAATAGATAAAGTGAAATTAAATTGCAAGTCAAGTTTCAGTGTGTGGGAACTTTCTATACCTGGCTTATAAACAGAACCAGCTTCTCACGTTGGAACTGGCAGAATGGTTTTGTCAGGTATGGACTGTAACATGCTCACCAAACCTTTATTTTATGTTAAAGGCTTTTAAACTGGTTCTGCCTTGGCTAATATAGGTTGTCATGAAAACAGACAATACACAGTAAAATAAATACTATAAAATAAAAATCAACTACCTTCTTGCTCTGGTCTCAACACTGGAACTTTTCTCTGTGCCAGGAGTGGGCCAAAGGCAGCTGCTTCCTTCACCTTGGGAACTAGGAAAACAACTTGTCACGTGCTGAGTCATCACAGGAACAGAAAATGGAACTTTATTCCTTTATACCAGTTGCCATGATTTATTTAAATAACTCAATGAATGTGTTTTCCACTCCACCACTAAACTCACGTTCCTAACCCCAGTTAGGTATTAGCTCTGAATTTTAAAAACTTTGTTTAAATTGCTGTTTTCTGCAACGCTGTGCCTTCTAAGCTGTGGGCAATGGAGCTGCAAGATTCACAAGGTCATAAATAGTTGAACATGACTTTTCTTTGGGGTGGTGATCTGCTTTCTTGCTACAAAACTTCCACTAATGATTGAAGTACCTGAACTGTACCGGACAGCAAAGATGATGACTCAACAGCTTGGCAGCACTTTGCCAACAGCAGCTTCAAAAATGGGTAATGTCAGAGACTTTGTAAAAGCCATAAACGTTGGCAGATCAAAGGCCCACAGCTCTGTATTCAGGTAAGTGACAGCTGGTGCTGCTGTAACAGAAGCCGCAGGAAATTTTTCTGAAGCCGTACTTTCTGCTGGGGTACATGTTCTCCTGCAAACCTGATCAGCTCTGCTCTCAGTTGGGAAGGAAGGGTGCAGCAACTGCCCTACCTCTTCCTCACCCTCCCTGCAACAGCTGGCAAGCACAGCCTGATGTTTTGATAACCAGTCCTGGTGGAGACCCCCGAACAAGTTCTTTTGTCAAAATTGGTTGACGTGTCTTGTGCCAAACTGGAAGAGTTGGTACAGCAGCACAGTCAATGAATGTTAGGTGTATTCTCTAAGATACTGGACTAAAGGAGGTAGCTACTCAAGAAGCACTATTTTTCAACAGCAGCCTCAGAGACCAAGGCAAAACCTCTCCTCTCTGATGAGCTACAAAGATATAGAAGCTTGCAAACTCTTATTTACTCTAAGTAATACTCTAAAATACTCTTATTTTCAAATTTCTGTCATTAAGCTTCTTTTGTACTATTTTAAATGATTAATAGAGAAGCGCACTCACAAAAAAAATGAAAGTCTCAGCTTCTTTGTGCAGAGCCTGTGTAAGTAACTAATCACACATGAGATAAGGGGGAAACCCGCTTCCACTGGCAGAGGATTCTACCCTTTGCAAACACATATGTAGATGATACCTATGATATATACATATACACCTGTGAAAACAGGAGTAGCTTAAATATGCCATTTTAAAGGAGTGAGGGAGGATCCTTTGGATTACTGCTTACCGAAGGTGTTAATGGAAAGCCTGCCAGACTGAAGTTCACTTTTCAGCCACACCATGTGAGCAGCAGGGACAAGAAAAGCTCAGACTTCCCCAACAATGCCAGACGATAGGAGCTATGGAAGTTATTTTTCCCTAATCAGCATTGTATCATACATGCTATTGGAAAGTCACAAATGCCAAATATTTTAAAAGTCATTACTTTCACAGGCATGCACATTTATTCAGAGGGAAATTTGTTCCTGTGAGTTCCACTGAGCCAGGGCTTTCCATCAAAATACTCCAACATATTCATAGTCGTATGCACATACTCAATTTTAAGAATATACTTACAACCCACTGCAATCCAGAGTTGTAAGTATCCAACTCCTGGCACCATAAAGACTATGCCATCTACTTAACCTTTCTTCTTATCTTTCAAAAGTGTCAAAAATTGCTCTGTGTGTACACCAGAGAAAACACACACTAACAAAGAAGCCCTGGAGGCCCTTCCAGAGGTGCTGAATTGAGCTGAGAAAAGAGACTCATGCAATCTTATGAGCTTTCTGATGAATTGCCAGGAGCGTGTCTTCTCTTGCTGCCTTTGCAGCCATCCCCTCACCCAGACCATTGCTTAAATCACCTGGATAATATTCTTACTTAAGGCAGGGATTAATTTATCTTTCTCCAAATTAATGTATGTCTACATATACACATTTAGGAACAGGCATATAGAGATTAGGTGTTAAGTTTACAGTCATGCCATAAACTTGGCCTTGTACTTAGTGGAAGAGGCTCAGGCTGTGAAAACCCTTGCCAAAATGAAGAGAGCTATTAAAATATGATCAATTCAGGAGAAAGTGGAGTGATTTAAATCAGAAGACAAGAGCTGCCAGAATGATTTATTTATTGAGTTATTGAATTACACTTGAATTCACTTGGGCAATATACATGCAGGTATAGCTGTGTGCTGCAGGTGCTTCAAGCGAAGAACTGTCATGCACGTAAAAAGAGGCAAATTTTGTATCCAAATCTATTTTTGTTTTCAGCGTCAGGCATTACACTCAGGTTTAGAGGAAGATATCACCTGCGTGTTAAGAGAAACTGTAAGCTTGAGTGTACAGAAAGTTTTCCAAGAAACTTTACTTCTTGGAACGAGCCTACATTTTACATCAGACCATCATTGGACATAGCCAGGATCCAAAGTTTACCCCCTCCTAAGTACTAGGCAGGAGTCAGGATTGCTCTTTTTGGTTGTTCTGCTGTCAAGTGGTGCTTGCAGAAAAGCAGTCCTCATCTCACATTGCCTAAGAACATACTCTCACCGCCAAAAGCTCACATACGTACCACTTCAGGCACAGCAGAGTCTATCCTTCTTTCTGTACTGCTGGTGCCCGCCCATCTACTTAGCTGCTACACTAGCTACTATATAATATCTACATATAAACCCCTTTGTATCATGGTGCCACACATTCCTAACCGTTGATGTCATCATGATACTCTTATGAGGTAAGATGGGTTGATCTTATGAGCAGGAATTAGTGGCAGAGAGAACTAATGCCTAGATCATCAGAGGTACCTATGTAACTACCTACCACCAATTTCCATAGGAGTTGTGTCTATAAATGTCTGTGATGGGCTGAGCATAAGTAAATTGCGACGTTCTGGTCCTGAGAACAGCCACCTTGTTGCTGACACAGGTTCTTGCATCTGCAGGAAATTCAGTGTTGCCATCTGAAACGTATATCTGAGCCCATATATATAACACATGTTCTGAAGAGGAGGAATCTCTTTGAGCCATGTAAGATGCAGTTTATCAGTTCTATTATATATCAGGAACTGCAGCAAGGAAAGAGACTTTCTACAAAATAGAACAGCCCCAGCCAGCTCTATCTGGCTGAAAGTACTTCCCTAAAAAATAAAAGGACTCACATAAAACAGCTCTGAAACTACTCAGGATGTCTGCAATCATGGAAACGTTTCTTAGCAATAACATTAGAAAATGAGAAAGTAGTGCTGAAAAGAAGCATTGAGATGTTGCTGTAGTATCAACGTGCCTAAATAGAGTGCCATGAAGGGGATTTAGAAACAAATTTATACGTGAAACTAGAATTCCACTTTAAAAACACCAGGCTTACAGGGAGCGTTACGCATAATGAAACAGATGAGATTTGAGCCAGTTCCTAGCCATACCCCTGTCCAGGGACCTTTAGCTAAGTAAAGAAAGATAACAGACCGCCACAAAAAGATACAGCAAAAGAGCTAGTTAGGTTCAAGCATATCCTTTCGTACAGCACACCGCAGTGTCCTCCTAGAAGTGCAGACAGACACCAGTTCCCTCTGCCTGTCAAACAGGTTTGTTAGCACTGGTCTGCCAGTTGCACCAATTCTGACTACCTGACTTCTTGTTTGGAGCTGGCTTGCACCTGGCTTGCTTGGAGCACAACTGGAGTGAGCTCAGGTCTGCCTGAAGAGTAGGTACTTTTTTTTTCAAGTCTAGAAGTCAAATAAGACCAATGAGGTAATGAAAGCAATAGGAAGCTTGAGGAGCACATCTGGAAAAGCACTGCTTGGACTAAGCTGCAATATTAAAAGGTTCAAAGTAAAAAAAAAAAAAAAAAGGCCGCCAAAACCCCAAACTCAACAAGCCAAAGCTCAGTAGCATAGGTCTGTGGAGCACTGTTTTATGGGGACCCTTCAGAAAGAGTGCAAAAGCACTGGTAAGTGACTCTGTGGTGCTAAAGGAGCTTACTGAAAACACTGATAGATTTTCCCTTATGTGCACTTGGTTTCACCTCTCTGCATTGCCAACTGCTGTATATAAAATTACTTCTAGTGCATTTGGAAATGACATTTTTGTCTGAAAAAAATATGGCTTGGTTTATAACTTGGAAGTAATTTTCTATTTGTCTGCAGTAATGCATGTGCTATCCTTAAAGCTTTAATTCCTTTTTTTCGCCTGTTAGTGCGGCTGTATTTCTTATAAATTATCTGTGGCATCACATAGAGCTCTTGCTGAGGCAGCTACACTGGAAGAACAGATATATAGCAGAATACAATCACCCATGTGTTTAAGCGTGCTAGCTGTGGGCAATGGGGTATATTTTTATTTCTTGTTATGGCTGTTTGATTTTTCTGTCCCCTGGAAAATGCCTATGCCTGGTTTTGCCTAGGTAGTCTAGTTAGTCTAAATGTAAAAATAACACATAAAATTTGGGAGAGGTAACTCACTGGTTTTATTTTTTTATTAAATTTCTGTAGAAAACGTAGAATTCTAAAGTGCCTGAAACTGCAGCATGTGGGAACTCTCACAAAAATGGTACTCACTGTCTTTCTAACACTGCTCTCTGATGTCCAAAGCCCATTAAAAAAACCCAGAAAACCAGAGTGGGCACTGTAAAAAAATCAAGCAGAATATAAAAGGTAGTAAAATGAAGACTAACTTCCTATATATGCAATATATTTATATGTCAGACTGAAAGGAATATGCCATACCGCTGCTACCACATCCCCCTCTGAAAGAACTGCATTTGCCAAATGTGCATCATCTTTTGAGCCTTTTATCTATAGCTGTGGACTGAGCTGTGGTCAGAGCATTATTTGCTCACACAGTGGTCTAATTACCAGAAAATAATAAGATCAAGAGCAAACATCCAGATAACTGAGAGAGCGCTCTTGTTCAGAATTAAGAGCCTAGAACCCATAAGAGAAACAGTTGACTTTTAGTATTGCCAAATAAACGA